CTCGAAATCCCTCTCTATCTGTGGATCGATTTGATCTGGGAATTTGATCTTGATCATTCCTGGCCTGAGCTGAGGGGTGAAATGGCTGCCTACGGTGTAGGGGGAGCTCTCCTATCAGCCCTCCTGGTAAGAGAGAACACATTCCTCTTATCTTTATTCTCCACTATGAAGGGATTTAAGACCTCTCCAAACAAGGAAGTACCCATGTGGGGAGCAGAGGCCGCTTTTCCATTTGGTTCTAGCATCTGCTTGCCACTGTCATAGCCACAGCAGACAACGAGAAGTGATGTTGCAGGCCAGGGCCATGGAGGAGAATCAGGCTGCATGTAGGGAGGAGTCTGCCGCAATTTCAGCGGCCACACCATTCGTTAACGTCCTGATGCATTTTGACTTACTCAGGAGTCCTAGCCTGTAATTGGCGGAGCCAGAGAAGGGACATTCTAGTGAAAAAAGGAGGTGGTCACAGCTGCTTAGACCGCCCAAGCATTGGCCTGGTGCGTTCTGCGGAAGTTTTTTTTCCACTTTTGTGTCCTCTGTTTTAAGGGCCCCTGCTATGTCGCCAGATATGGCAGAAGGGATGCCAAAGGTTCGTCCAGAGGGGAAAGTTGCAGTTAACTTGTTATCATTACCCCCGGAGTGGGAAAGGATCTTGGTTGTGCCCATTGCCTCTGAACTATGTCCAAAAATAACTTGGGACAACGAATCTCCTGTTGGAGAATTCTAGGTTCAGAAAAAACCTCACTGATAGGTTCTCAGTATCAGGTAAAGGGGATAGTGGGGATAGTGGGTGGAGGATCAATTTGGGCAGTGGTCCTAGCCTTGTGGAGGAGAGATTTAAACAGCCCCAGCCTAAACAGACCTGTGAACGGGAGTGGAATAGGTGATAAGTCCTTATTTTCTGAGAATCCCTCCTCTCCCTGAACTTCCTTCTCCATCCCAGATGCCCTGCTTCTGATGGAGTGGGCCAGAGAGACCTCCCTCTGGTGCCTAGAGAAACCCATGGAGGCCTGGTATCACACTGGCTGCAATGGTTGAGGATCAGGTCTTGGGGAAGGAGAATGGCTCCTCCCCCTTCAGGGTGGAGGCTACCCCTTGAGAAATGGCCTGAGCAGTAAGGGCCTTAATATCCTCAGATAATTCTGGGGCCACTTTTATCTGCTGAGCGCATCCCCATTGCAGTTGGAGTAAAAGCGGCCCCAGGGATTTCAGTCCTGTCTCTGATCTACAATCAAAAGGAAATCTCTGAGTTTGGATTTCCTCAGCAGGTGGGATAAATTCCTGCTCCCTATCTCCCTCTAGTGACCAAGCCCCGGAAGCTGCAGCAACTCCTGTGCTAATGGCTGCTGAGAGAGGGGGCTAACAGGCCCTGGCTGGGGGAAGGGGGGATACCTCTCCTGGTCTGCTTGGTCCTGAGCTCTGCAGAATTGCTTTTCCAATGCTCTTTGCCTTCTTTCTTCAGTTCTCATGGCCTTTCTGGAAGAAACAGCCTTTGCCTTTATTTTATTATCAGCATCTTTACCAGCAGATCTGGTCTTCCTGGGATTTTGCTTGGATCGTTTAGCACTCGTGGGCTCCATGATGCCTTGGTCAGCCATGCTGCTTGATTGTTGGGAGGACAGCTCTCTCAATCCTCCAATCCTGCTGCTCCAAAGGGAATTAAGGCCTGTAAGCCTTCCCTGGGCTGTGACAGTGGCAGCCCTACCATTCTCCTGGATAGCCTGCACAACTCACCACATGGGCAAAATGGCCGCCGCCAGCCCCAAAAATCATCTGTAGAGCACGAAAGTAAAAGTGGATGCTCCAGAGCTACCTGGTTAAGCCTGGGAGCACAACGGCGTGCTGGGGGCGATCATGGCTTCAGTGGGGGGGGGGGGGGGGGGGGAGGGGGGGATCGTTTTGGGGCCCTTCTTGACTGCCTGGGCTGCTAGGCCTTAAATTTGTAGTTCAGGGGACCATAAAAAACAGAGCAGGCAAAAGTTCCAATTGCTGCCTATTTACAATTTTTTAGATCAGTGGTAGTCAACCTGGCCCCTACAGCTCACTAATGGGTGTTCCAGCTTTCATGGTGGGTGGGTAGGGGGTTTGTCCCCTACTTTATAAATCACCATTACTGTGGAACTGGTGGGCGGTTAGAGAAAATTTTACTACTAACAGAGATAGAAAACTGGGCGGTAGGTATAAAAAGATTGACTACCCTTTTTAGATAAAGGGAGTTTTTGCAAAGCTTTGGGAGAATCCACTTTAAACCGCTGCTTTCTGCTTAAATTATTGGAGCCGACCTTTGCCATGTCTCTATAGGGTCAAGACTGAATTGTGACTGGGGCTAGGAGGCTTCCTGCCCTGACAGGAAGAGGCGTGGCAAAGATTGACAACTCAGTCTCTGGGCAGAAAAGCAGATTCAGCCCATATGTGTGGATTATCCCAAAGGCATGCTGGAGAATTAAATAATTTTTATCATGTCTTCTGATGACTAATTGATGTTCATGGACATAATCCACTACTCTTTTACCTGTTTGTTTGTTCTATGTAGTGGCTGTTAGTCCTTACAGTGGATGTTGTAGATGATTCCTGCTGTTGGTTGGTTGGTTTTTTAAAGTTTACTAATGGTTTCTGAGACACCTAGTGCAGGAAAATATTTTCTTACAAATGTTTCATTATTAAACTAGGTGACATGAGATCTATCTCCTGGCTGTGTAAATGATTGTTGTATTTTTCTCAGTTATGATGCATTTTAACTTTTGTAGTTGTTATTGTTTTCATTTTTTAACAATCTCTGTCCAAGATCACCTCTTGAGATGGGCAACTATACAAAGTGATTTAATAAATAAAACTTTCAACTCTTTTTAAAATGTTAGTAATACCAAACTAATTAAGAATAATATACATGAATTGTTTATAAAACAGTTTTCAATCAAACCAGTCAGATGAAAACAAATTGATGACTGGATGTTTGTGCTGAGAATTTAACAATCCTCTGTTCTAAATGCCAATAAAAATAATTAATATGCAAGTTTAAACCATACATCTCAGTGAAAAAAAGGGAAAAATGGAAAGCCCTAATGCTCTGGAATATTTACCAAAAAAGGTTCCTTGGTTACTGCTAGGTTCCACGGCCTCTCTTGATAGGTTTTTGATTCTTTTAAATTAAAATGGGTAGCAAAGCACAACCTTAAGCATCATATTTATTAAGAATCCTTCTGAATCCCACATGGACTTCACATGCATTCTTAGGAAATAAAAATTTTAGGTGGTTGCAGCCAAGTACTTTGTCTGGAATGTACCCATTTACCCAGGAAAAGAGAAATATCTTGATGAACTAAAATGGATGGCAGAAAAAAAAACTTTTATCAAGTTTGTCTTTTGGTAAGGAATGCCATAGTTCAGAGCAGCAACTGCTATTAGAACAACTACAACATATTCCCAAATTTAAAATGGATAAACTTCTCTCCAAAGTTAAGAATTCTGAAATAAGCAAACTTGAATATGTATTTTAAAGAGCTCTAACTGGAACCAGGCAGATACAACTGAAAAAAAAGTAACACAAAATCAATATAGTGGCTGAAAATTGAAAAAAGGTATTTCTTGGTAAGAGACATACTTTTATTTAGACAATTACTATATTTTAATGATGTGTTTAAAACCAACCATGATCTGAAGTGAATAAATCTGGCCTTTACTCAATGAATCCAGGAAACAAACATATGGGGAGGCTCATTAATTGAGCACATTAAAAATATAGAGCAAGGGTCTTCAAATGTGGCAAGTTTAAGACTTGTGGACTTCAACTTCCAGAATTCCTGAGCTAACATGACTGGAAAAAGAATTCTGGGAATTGAAGTCCACAAGTCTTAAAGTTGCCAAGTTTGAAGACCCCTGATGTAGAGTTACAATCAAATGAAATAAATTTGTTTTTTTTAGCTCAAAGAAAAGAAAAAAGCACAGTAAAATTACAGAACAGTCTATTATTAATTTGGTTGTCAAAATGTTTGCTTATTAATAGAATGAGGCACAGGTCTCCAGGTTAGACAGGAAACTAACTCTGAGGGCAGTTGAATTATTCCTACATAATTTCTTTCAGAGTTATACATGGCTCCGAGACAATTATATTGTACCAAATACTGAAAATGATAGGGTGTGTACATTTGAACAATCAAGTTGCATCTCATTTAAATGCAATTAAGCACATTGCAATTCTATAGACAGCACAAAATTATGTTCAGTTTGAAAACTAGATTCTATATTTTCCTTGTCTTTCTGCATGGATATAACCATCAATGTTAACATAAAAGATCTGACGCAACTACATTTGTTGAGACCTATTCAAATTTCAACATAATCAACTGTTTCTTTTTCCAACCTGCCTCGGCCAAAAACAGCTATGCACTATGAAGAAGTCTACTACCGCACCAAGTATTAAAGATCAGTGCAAAACAAACATTATTCATTGTTTTAAGTTTATATTTCCTTAATTTAACATCATTTCATGTATATCTAAATGTGCCCATGTGCACTGAAATTCATGTCAATTAAAATTTTCAGCCTAACACTTATGACAGTTTAAATTATATTAAGCTGACCTATACCGTCACATCATGTGACTATGTTATTCCTTTATAACAATGAAGATTTCTAGATCCCTATCTATGCATGCATAGAGTTCTTCCTATAAGCCAGAGCTTATGGCATCAGCAGAGCTTCTTTTCCAACCAACATTGCATGACTATCTTACTATTAAGCTGCCATATTTTAGAAAGAAAGAAAGAAAGAAAGAAAGAAAGAAAGAAAGAAAGAAAGAAAGAAAGAAAGAAAGAAAGAAAGAAAGAAAGAAAGAAATTTTTACTGGCCAATTTTACCAATAGTCCCGTTATAGAAGTATGGGTTGGATTATTTTTCTTTAAAAACAATAAAGATGCTAGGCCAATATTATTTAATTTATGTATGATACTGTCTATCATCAATTGCCTTTCAAAAAAAAAAACCTAACATTTGATGTTACTCACAGGGGTACATGGTATTGTTCTGTGTCTGCTTTGGCCAGTTCCTCTTCTTCAATATCAGATTCTCCACCTGAGCTGCTGTCTGTGGCATCAGAATCAAATGCTTGCTCACAAGAGCGCAGGTTAGCCGTTCCACTGGCAGTAAATCTTTCTAGTTCTTCTGAGATAGAGTCACTTTTTAGGAAGTTGCTCAGTCCTTCCGAGGTACTTGCCTCATTTACAACTTTTCTTAGAGTTGCTTCTGTCTTGCGGGTCAGCATTAGCTGACTTCGGTGTCTCAAGGAGTCCAAAGGAGGCAATTTGCTTAGCGTTTTCTGTAAAAATCCACCAAGCTGTTGCTGAATGTGCCGCTCTACCTGCTTGGCCTGTACCACTTGCAGCCGCTTTTGCAGCCTGCGAGCACGATTCTCAATGTCTGCCTGCCTCCGCATTAGTACCTTTGTCCTCATATTTGAATCTAGAGTGGTAAAGGAACTGTTTGGTGGAGAGATCTTCTGTTCCTCTGGCTTACTGCTTCCAAGCTCAGAAGAAACAGATATTCCAGATAACAAAAGCAACTGGTTCTCCCCACCCCCTTCGAGTTCACATTGCTGCTCTAGGGAACTGTGGTCATGTTTATTTGCCATGCCATTATTGCTAAGTGGGGCAGCATGCTCTGCATCTGGGCTTTTATGTGGTAGAGTGCAATTGCTCAAACCAGATTTCAGGTCCTCCAAATCAGAACCCCCAGGTCTATTTGAATCAACTTCCTGGAGGGTCGCAGAAGGTGCACTCTTCCCACCATTAAGTGAAACAGAACCTTCATGGTCAGAACTATTAGTTTTAGCTAATTTTTTAGCCAAACCATTGACAGGTGTTTGTGGCAATGGTGTCTGATTGCTTGTACTCATGGTTTTTAGATTTTCCAAGGAAATCTCCAACACTGGTGGCCTTCCCAACAGATCACTAGTTTTCAAGAAAGGATGAGTCAACAGAGAATGAGATTTAAGGACCGTCTGCTTATTGAAGACCCCTTGCAGTTTCAAGGACTCCTTTGGAGGAACAGATGTTACATCTGAACAGAGATAAGATGCTACCAATGGCTGCAGCTTTCCCAGCTCTTCTTTTGCAGAATTATTTCGGAAAGCTAGACTGGAATCCTCAGCTTTCCTTTTGGTGACGTTACTGGCAACAAGGATGTTGTTAGTGTTGCTGTTTTTCTCGGTACTGCCAGGAGACAGGGAGGAGGATGGGGGAGCCAGTTTGAACCGGATATGGTGAGCTTCAGTTGCTGCGTCAGTGAGAGCGGGCGCCATAGTAGCCATTCAGCACATAGAGTTGGGAACTCCAGCCTCTCCCGTTGCAGAGGCCAGCTCTGCTGTGTTCTTCTGCCTCGCCAAAGGGAAGCCTTAAAAAAAAAAAGACATAGTTTAGAAGTGTAGAATGGGAAAACAAAAATAACGTTATTTGTTTATACGTTGTTATCAGATACAGAAGCCTATATACACCTGTTCATTAGACACAATCAATAACTCCCTATCCAAATTAGTCAGTATAATATCCAACGGAAAGGTATAAAACAGAACATGAAAATCTTTTGACATGCCAAAATGACGAAAGGATTTGAAGTAGGAATGAAGGTGAAATCACAAAACAAGGATAAGCATCAAATACTGGACAAGTATAGTAAGAAAGCTTTCTCCAACATGGTGCCCTTCAAGTGGCTTTCTCTTTGTTGCTGGGAAATGTGAACGGCTGAGGGAAAACTGTGTTTTGCCAAACAACTGAAAAATGTACAATACAGGTTATGAATAAAATAGAAAATAAAGCTGCATATGAGAGCCACTGTGATATACAGGTGGTCTTCAACTTACAATTGAGCCCAAAATTTTGGTTGCTAAGTTTATTTATTAAGTGAGTTTTGCCTCATTTTACTTTTCTTGTCACAGTTGTTAAATGAATCACTGCAATTAAGTTAGCAACAGTGAATTTGTCTTCTACCTTAACTTTTTTTACCAGAAGATAGCAAAGAGGGATCACATGACCCCATGACACTGCAAACATTATAAATATGAGTCAGTTGCCAAGCATCCAAATTTTGCTCACATGACCACAAGGATGGTGCAATGGTCGTAAGAGTGAAAAATGATCACAAGTCACATTTTTCAGGGCCATTGTAACTTCAAATGGTCACTAAATGAACTGTTGTAATTCAAAGACTACCTGTAATGGTTAAGATTGCTGGACAAACTACAGAAAAACAGGGTTCAAGTCTATGTTCAAGTATGAAAACTTTCCGGATGCCTTCGAGAGATCATTAATCTTTAAGCCCTATCTTAAATCACAGGACAGTTACTGTGAGAAAGAATTAGTGGCACAGGTATGTATTATCATCTTCAACTATTCCCTGATGATTGGAAAAATATCAAGCTAACAAGTGAAATATATTGCTTTGTTAAATATTGTTCAGATCAAGCATTTCCAAATCATGGTATCTTGAAGTGTGTTTCAAGTCCCAGAATTTCCAATAAAGGTTATGCTGGAAGAACCTAGGAAAGCTAGTATGTATCATATATTCTATGTTCCACAGGCAAAATGCAAAAACCAGCACTGCTCTTACCAGGGGTGGCAGAAAGCCGAACTAAATACAAAACCAGTTCAGAAAGGTATTTTCCAACAGTGAATCAAAACTGAACTCACCTAAATTCCCTCAACTGTCATGGTCATGAATCAAGTCCCTAGCATAAACAGTAATCATTTATCTTCTAGCAAATGAAGGGACTTCTTTTGTATTTAAGAAAAGAGGCTTCCCCTTTTCCCTCTTCCCTGCTAAAGGTCAAGAATCTTAATAGGATTCACAAAAAGGAATTTCCAACTGCACTTGACCCTAAATACAAACCATTGCTTTCCACAAATAAAGTTTAAAAAAGAACCAATTCTAATTACGTGAGTGAAGATATTAAAAAAACTAAATAATATTATTCCCAACTTAATCAAAACTGAGCAAGCAGTTGCGACGCTGCCCCTTTACGCCTTCATTACACTCTCAGAATGCTAAGAAAGTTGCACAATATCAGAGGTGACTGAAGATGTATCTATCTAAATCTCTATTTAATCCCAGGCAATAGCAAAATAGTGCCCTTTCCAGCATGTTGAACAACTTTCATTAGCCCCAGTCAATACAGGCAGTGAAAAGATCTGAGAATGGGCGTTGGTGGAAGTTACCCTGAACGCCCTTTCTATCTATGCTGCGAGAGAGCCCAGGATGGGTTGACTCCTTCCTATGACATCATTTAGCTGAGTCTGTACTAAGATATAAAAGCCAGCCCCCGGAAGAGACCCCAGCTTTGGCGAAGATACTTGACAGACTGAAAGGTGTCTCTGAAAGCACAAATGAATACAGAAATATGACTTACCCTCTCCGAATGAATCAAGGGAGGGGCTGGGCTCTCTCGCAGCATAGATAGAAAGGACGTTCAGGGTAACTTCCACCAACGTCCATTCTCCTCCATGCTGCATTGAGAGCCCAGGATAGGACATACCAAAGCTTGCATGTCCACAGGCGGGTCCTTGTCCGGCTCATCACACCGACGGTTGAACCACTCGTTGAAGCACCCGTCTGCCGAAGGCTGCAGTTGCCGAGGCAAAAACATCCAGACGGTAGTATCTGATGAAAGGAGACGGAGATGTCCACGTGGCCTCATGACAGATCTCCTCCAAGGGTGCTTGGGCCTCCCAGGCAGCCGAACTGGCCGCATTTCTGGTAGAGAGCGCCATCAGACCTCAAGGAACCAGAAGGGCCGCAGGTTTGTAGGCCTGTTCAATGCAAGATCTGACCCACCTGCTAATAGTAGAAGAGGCCTTGTGCCCCAAGTGAGAAGGGAAAAGGAAACAAAATGGCTTCCGACTTCCTGAAGGAGGAAGTGCGCTTAATGGATATTCTAAGAGCCCTACCTACATCTAGCGTGTGCCACTGCTGCTCCAAGTCATGGTGCGGGAGGGGGCAGAAGCCAGGCAACATAATGTCCTGGGACCTGTGGAACAGGTGTGTTAACCCTTGGAATAAATAAGGGTCCAGACTGAGGACAACCCTATCATCAGGAAAGGAACAAAGGTCCTGTCTGATAGAAAGAGCAGCGAGCTTGGATAGCCGCCTGGCTGAAGTGATGGAAACAGGGAACACTACTTTCAGAGACAGGAAACGGAGAGACAATATTTCAAGGGTTCCAAATGGGGGCTTTGTAAGGGCATTAAGGACCACATGGAGATCCCAGGAAGGATACCTGTGAACCACCAGTGGGTGCAGGTTGGAAGCCCCTTTCAAAAACCTCCTGACTGAAGGATGATGGGATACGGAAGGAAGCAAACCCCATGAAAAAACCAAGGAGAGGGCCTCAACCTGCCTGAACAAGGTTTTAGGGGCCAAACCTTTCTCTAGATCATGCTGAAGGAATCTAAGAACCTCTGCCAACTGGGCTAAAGCGGGAGAGAGAGAGACTCTCCCTAAGGCACCATTGGGAAAGGGCTTTCCAGGTGGCATCATAGATGCGCCTTGTGGGAGGTTTGCGAGATGCCAGGATAGTGATGATGACCCTTTCAGGAAGATCAGCCACCTTTAGCCGCTGCCGCTCAAGTGCCACATGGTCAGCTTGAGCCACTGGGGCTCTGGGTGGAGCAGAATCCCCCGATGGAGATTAGATGGGCTGGGATCCTCCAAAGAGAAGCCACCAATAGGTTGACCAGGTCCACAAACCAGGGCATCCTTGGCCAATAGGGTGCCAGGAGGAGGAGCTCCGCTCGTTCAACATCTTCCGAATTACTGCCAGAATGATGGGGAGCGGGGAAAAGGCATGGGGAGACTTTGGGGCCATTTGCACCAAATGGCATTGTTCCCTCCACTCCCTGGCAAGGAAACCTGGTGAAGAATCTGGTGACCTGGGCAATCTGAGGAGTGGAGAAGATCCACCTCCGGCATTCCGAATCTGAGGGAAAGGTCCCTGAATAGAGAAGGAGGAATAGACCATTCTGCCTGGTCGACTAGGCTCCTGCTGAGCCAGTCGGCCTGGGAGTTGTTGATCCCGGAGAAGTGGTCCGCCGAGATCGACAACAGGTGTTGCTCTGCCCATAACCCCAACTGTAGAGCCTCTCCCATGAGGGCTCTGGACCTCACCCCCCCCACCAGTTGACATGATCCATGGCGGCCATGCCCATAAGGACTAGAACATGAGAGCCAGTCACTGAGTGCCTGAAATGCTTGAGAGCTAGTAAAATGGCTCTGAGCTCTAGCCAATTTACGGGAAGGGCCTGCTCTGAGCTGGACCAAGGTCCTGAGCTATCTGGCCCTGCATATGGGAACCCCAACCCAGGAGGCTGGCATTGGTGGTTATCACTAGCCTGTCTGGGACCCTGAAAGGAGTCCCTTCCAGATTAACGAGAAACACCAACAATTGAGAGATCTCCGGATTTGTGGCAGGAGCAGGACCTTGATGGATGAGTGGCTGGTTCCTGCCCGTTGGTAGGGAAGCAGGAACTATTAGAGTGGACGGGAGTGGAAAAATCCGTGGCTCTGGAGATATGACAGGGTAATTTGCAGATCCCAATGGGCTGCACGGATGGAGGAGGACAGAATTAAAATGTTGTCCAAATAGTATTGGATCCTCACTGGAACAGAAAACAGAGATGTCATCAATGCTACCAGAACCTTCGTGAAGACCCTTGAAGCCGATGAAAGGCTGAAGGGAAGTGCTCGATACTGGTAATGGGTATTCTGATAACAGAAATGGAAAAACTGGTGATGATCGAGGCCAAACGGGGATGTGGAGGAAGCCTCCATGAGTTCAATGGAAGAGATGAGATCGCCCTCCCGAACGCTCTGTAACATAGAATGCATTTTAAATTGCCTGTATTTTACAAATTGGTTGAGAAATTTTAGATCCAGGATGGTTCGCTACCCCCCAAAGGCTTTGGGAATGATGAAAAGGCGAGAGTAAGCCCATGTCCCCGTTGAGAGGGGGGAACAGGTTTGAATAGCTCGGATTTCAAGAAGGAGTTGAATGGCCTGATTCGTGAGGTCTTGCCTTGAAATGTCCAGAGAGAGGACAGATCAAAAAACTTGGGGGGGGGGTAGCATTAGGAAGTCCAATTGTAATCCTGACCTAATAGCGCTGAGCACGCAGGCATCGGCCGTTGACTCCTCCCATTTGGAGGCAAAGAAGGCTTGGTGACCTCCGATGGTGGGGAGAACGAGAGATAACTTAGAGTGACAGAAGGAACGACCCCCACCCTCCAGAAAGGGCTGTGTACCAGTATAAGGAGCTGGGTGATAGTCGGCTCTCTTTCCAGAGAAAGAGAGAATTTTACGTTTATCTCTGGTTTCTATGAGATACCGTTCCAGAGCATCGCCAAAAA